TCTTCGTCCCCGCGATTCTGGGTGCCTTGGTGGACGGCGCGGCGATGCCCTTGTGCACCGTGGCCTTGGTGGGGTCCATGAAGGCTTTCTACAAGGCGCGGGGTGCGCGGGAACGCTTGGCGGGCGGAAAAAAACGACACGACGGGGGGGGGTCCGGGGGGTATGGTGGACACTTAGTTAGGGTCTATTTTGCAACCTCCTTCTTTTAGGGTATGTTTTTTTTTAGGGCATGGTTGCAAAATAGACTCTAGGTGTCCATGGCACGGGGGGGGGGGGGGGCATGGACCCCATCGGAGTCGATTTTGCAGCCAAGAAGCCAAAAAAAAATCCGATGCCCCCAAAAGAAGAAGGTTGCACAATAGACTCTAAGTGTACATCATAGGGGGTGGTTTTGGGCACCCGGTCAGTTTGGTCGCTTTGTGCAATTTCAGGATCGCTGCGAGATGTGGATTTGTCGGTTTCAAGGAAAAGACTGTCATGCTGGTTGCGTACGGAGCCATGATTCGATGGGATCGCATTGCAACAAGCAGGATTGCATGCAGGATACACGCGAAAGCGAGGTTCCAAAGATGGCGATGCGGGTTCATGTGGGGTTTCCCCATTTTCTTGCAACCCCAAATGGCCGTCAGCAACGGTCAGCAAAAGACACCCGCGGCTTTGCTGTTTTGTGTTGAGCCCCACAGACCGCTGTTCACTCACGGAGACAAAGCCATCCGCTCGCCAGACGGACAAGGAGGAGATGCGTTCCGACCTGGAGCCTCTTGGCATTTGGTGAAAGGGCGGAGGGTGTTTAAAGGGGCCAAACAAAACCACTTTTATTTGGGGGGCGGGTTAACAGGTGACACACCCCCAGGGTCTGGTCTAAGGCCAAGGCGGGGAGGGGGGAATTGGCTTGCAACCAATATGCCTCATCAAGGTTCCGACTTTTTTAGTCGTTTCGTGTCGTTTTTCTTGCCTCTGGCTTTTTCTGGGCCTGGGCGATGTCTTAAGCGTTTGATGTGTACCGAGAAAGTGCGGCTCCGCAAGGCTGCGCGCGGGCTCCTCACTGCCCATAGGCCTTCCGCCTTGACCCTGGCCTGACCCTGGCTCAGTGAGCTACACTCCTTGCTCCTTGCTTTGCTTTCGTTTCTTTTTTGGCGCACCGGGTGCAACTGGGCCACCCTGATGGGGTCACGCTTGGCCCCGCTCCTGCCGGACCCGCCGATGTGGACTTGCCCAGTGGCGCACAAGAATTGCTTGCTGGATCCAATGGCAGGTGCGATCCGAAGGGCTGCTTCATTCTCGGGGCAATCCATTGTGCTTGAGCCCTTCCTATCCCCTCGGCAAAGCGATGCACAGAGTTGTTTCGCCCACGCGAATCTCAGCAATGCAACCACTGCGCGGGGAAAAGACGACTAGGACATGCAAGTTGACCTCTGCCTTCTACCTTGCTAAATAAATGGCAACTGTGACCTGTACAACATTCCTACCACTTGCTACGTCATCAGCCATGCATAAAACAAAAAGCAAGCGAATCTGCAATCAACTGCACCTACAACTTGCCCCGGAAAGGCAGTCTGCTGAATTTCCACATTGTGGAAATTCAGCAGACATGGGTATGGCTCAAAATTCAAGAGCTAGGGTTACGCAAGTTTTAGTCTTTGGTTTCAGTTACCAAGGCGCCATTTTGGTACATTTTTTGAGCCACAGCCATAATATGTCCCATTCCGGTTGCTTCAAGCGTCGTCGTCTGATTTGCCGGTTTGATTGAGTTTCCTTTGCTTTGAATCATAAGGCGGAAGCAGGGGACCTGTCTTGGGCTTCAATTGTGTACATGCAGGCAGTCTGCACTTTTCGGTCTGCAATTGGTGGATCCCCATCCCTCAAAGCGCGTATGAGGTTTGGATCTAGCGGCCCTTCCGTAGTTCCTATCTAATCTTACCCCTTGAGCGGCTTTACGGAAAGCCACAAGGACAATTAGTTGGGTCTAAAGAAAGACGCGCTGAATCCCTGTCCTTTAGGTTCATGTCGCTGCTCTTTGTCATCATCGGACTGAGCTGCTTGCTGGGCTCCACCATCTCCCATGGCTGCTTCGCCATCTTGGGCGAGGCGAAGCGGATCGAAGTCGAAGCATCCGCGCCGAGGGTGTCCAAGTCGAAGCATCCGAGTTTCTTGCAGGCCCCTCATTGTCCACGTTTGCTTAGGACCCTCTTGTGTAACACCAAGTTGTGTAACGCCAAGTTGCATCCATCAATGATCTGCAGTTGCTCCCAAGTTCCTTTGGCGGTCCCCACCATGTCAAGCCTCCCGTTGGAAGATTCTCCGCCTTCCAGTGATCAAAATCCTTGCTCAATATAGGACGTGTTGCCAATAAAACGGTTCAGCCCAGGTGCGTCTACCCTCCCCCCAATAAACATACATGGCTTAATGCACAGACTTCCTCATCAAACGGAAGTACTCTTCCCAGAAGGGCCTTCGTGCTGCCATGTTGTTTGTGAAAGGAAGGTACGTACTTATTTTTTTGGCACATCGATATGCCGCGCTTGCCAGTTGAGAAATGTGCTGAAGGGGCAATGTGCATCTCCAATCAAACTCTCCTCCGGATGGTGGACAAACAAAACCATTGGGAAAATGGGTCGACACTTTCGGGATTGGCAATGGAAACCCCTCCTTCCACGTCCAAAGACAGACTGAAGGTTGGGTCAACATATTTCTCGTAGTCTATGGTCCATTTGACATCGGGAGGCGAAAGCTGAGACTGTCCCAAAAAAGCCGGGAGACTCACTACTCTTCACATCTCTTCACATGTTCTTTCGGCCAACCGCATATGTTGACCCTGGCAAGAGCTCTAAGTCCGGGACATTGACTGAATATGAAGCGGACTGTCTTGGGGCTCGCATGGGGAAAGTTGGAAGTTCTGCTCCTGAGGACAGCAGATCTTCTTGGAATATGCCAAGAACGGAGGCTTTTTCTTGTGTGATGTCCATAGGTGTCCTGTTGATCGACTTGCCTGGGTGAGTATAGATGGGTTCCACTGGGTTAGACAGGATTTATGCCCCATGTACCAGGGAAACAGCTATTTTTCCAATAGCTGCTCACTGAACCCTCTTACTCTTTTGACTGTGCAAGGGACGCGCCGCAAGACGCGGTAGGCTATGACTCAGCGCCTTCGTGTGAACATCCTCACCACCATGTTCCGCCAGGAGGCCGTGTGAGTTCTGAATGGTACGTGGTTTCGGGACCCAGTAGAAAATGGAGATATGAGCCACGTCCTCAAAACCGATTCGGGTAGATGAAGGTTGGTGAGGGAACACCTTCTTGCCGCAAATGGGCGCCTTCGCCGTTTTTTGATTTCCTTACATGGTTCTGGGCAGACCATTTGAAGACCAGGTGTTGAATCTAACTTATGAGCCAACATCCAACCACAAAACCTTGCAACTTGTGAGAGAACAAAGGGTTATCTACTTCCTTGCAGTTTTCAGGGAGTCCACCAAAAACCCAAAAACAACACAGGAGTTTGTGAAAATGGCGTCAAGGACTTCCTGGTCCTGCTTTCTAACCAACCGTGTTGTCTAGCTCAAGAAGAATCAAGGGGAGCCTTTTTGCAACGCCTGTTTGCAGCTCGACCCATCATGCAGTCATCTTAGAGGAGGTCTGGAAGTGAAATGGATGCTCCTTCCAAGATGGTATTCTCACTGGACGCACATCAGGTCATCCTTACCCGGATTGATGGCTTGGATAGTTGCCAAGTTCCTCTTGAAGCCGAATTAGACAGCCCATAAGCTCTACTGCCACCAATCAACACCAATTAGAGGAGAGATGACTTCGATCATATCACAGAGAGCTCTTTCGGGCTAAGACTCATGGCTCCATGATAGAGGTTTCCCCCAAAGCGCGGCTTTTTGGAGGGAAGTGCCCTGTTTGGGGGTGGTGTGTGGGCATTTTGTGGGCATGAAAAAGGGGTTCCCTTTCGGAGACCCCAGGAATTGATCCAGGTGTGGCCAGTCCCATTCCGGCACGCAGAATTGAAGAGCATTCGCCTGAACTGAAGGGCTTGCACCTAACACCTTGCCTTCTGTGTGTCCCGAGCCGCTATGCCCTTGTGAAATAACAGATTTGGACAAACAGTGTGCAAGCCTTTCTCACTTCCACTTTCTAGAGCAGCTTTCTCTCTTTTCCTCTGGAATTGCCTGCTCATCTGCTGCTGAGTAAGTTTTCTCCGACGACCTGACAAGACGCATCGGGGTCGCCCCGCGTCTTCGGCCCTCGGAACTTGGCGCTTGTTCACCTGAGCCGAAGTGTTCCCGATTTCAACTCCATGTCCAGTTGACTCCTGAGCTGCAGGGTCACAGGGTCACATCTCCCATTTGAGTTGAGCTTCGCTGTGGTGATGCAGAACAAAGCCAACATACTGCACACCCAGAGGCTCCCGATGTATTTGGGGCCCTCAAACAGCCAGGTTTTTTTAGACCGGGTCCCAAACCCCTGCGGGGTGTCTCCGGGGTTCTAGAGGGGTCGGGTCCATTGAAAGCCCCATGGGCATGGCAAACTCGGAGCTTGCGAGGTGGGCTTCCACGACAACCCCGAGAACACCCCGGGCATGCTCTCCAAAGCTTTGGAGCTCTGGGCCTTCCGAGTGAGCACTTTGTGCAAGTCCATCCAGGCAAGCTCCCACGGACAGGCATGATACCCAGGTCCCGAATGAACTTTAGGGAAACATCCGAGCAAACACAAAGGGACCCAGCTCCTTTTCGAGTCTGGGTCGATGCCATGGTCTCAGCGGCCTGGTCCGACAGAAGAGAAACATTGAGTGGGAGCACCTTTTTGCACGCTGGTTCAGCACAAACCATTTTGAAAGATTCGGTTTACCTTCATCCTCCTGTGACGCGAATTGGTTTGGCCTTTTACACTACACAAAGAATGAGCGCAGGAGGAAGGGCAAATTGCCTAATTCTCCAGCTGCAAGTATCAATGGCCGGATGTACACGGTCTTGTACGAATAGCCATGTTTGGCCGAGGCTGCTAGCCATGAATGGTGATATGCTGATGCATAGCGCAACGAGGCTACGTCTTTCAATTCTTTCACTCGCCGGGGCTTTACTGGAGTGTTCGAGTGTGTCTTCTCTAAGGTGCCCTTTTGGGTGGGGAAACAACGCCGCCGTTTTCCGGTGGGCTCATGTTCGCTGCCTTCGCAGTTTGCTGCTTGCTGTTCCCACTAGGTCCTTAGAGATGGCCACAGGGCAACAAGCCCTGCAGTGCTTTGTTGCATTTTACTTTGGATGTGACTTTAACTTTTTGCCAACTAATGAATGGGTTTTCCGCATTAAACCGCTAAAATGTAAAACTTGTTTAGCAGGGGAGCTAGCCACTCCACATGGGTTGCGGGTTAGGGACAACCATAAATGGGTGCGGATATCCGCCTTCTTAATTCCTTACATGGTTCTGGATAGACCATTTTAATACCAGGTTTTGATTGTGACTCAGTTGGGCTTCGGTTAAGGTCCATCACTTGGCGGCAGATTGGGTCAATAGTCAAAAGCCTTTCACCGCCTCCGTAAGACTGTAGGCAATTCGGCCGGAATCCACTTTGTTGCAAGCTAGCGGCGCATGTTCTTCAGCTGACGCTGATGTTGGTTTTCCTTTTTCTGGCTGTGGTCGTCGTTTTTCTGGTGTGAGCCGTTTGTTTACCGGATGTTCTTTCGGGGGTTGGGGGGTTTGGGGGGGGGGGGGGGAATTAGCAGTCACTCAGTCTGCAAAGTGAGCCCCCAGTTCTGGCAGGCGAAGGCCGCTGCCCTGAGCTCTATGTTGGTTGGCCTCACCTTGGCTGCTCGGGCGAAAGCCACCCAACCCACCCACCCAACCCACCCAACCCACCCAACCCACCCAACCCACCCAACCAACCAATCAACCAACCCAACCCACAAGTCGGGCGGTTTGAGTTGGAAGGATCAGAAATGGAAGGCTCCACTGCTTGCAATTGCTTCGAATCAGGGAAACCGGCCTGGGGTTCCATGTACTCAAAGGTGCGACTGAAACTCAGAGGTCACTCTCCTCATGTTTTGAAGCGTTGGACTGTTCGCCCGAGATCATGCCAGCCCCTTCTTGATCATAGAAAGCCGCGCCACCGGTGAACAGCAGGCCCAATCTTTGCGACTTGGTGCGGTTCTGCCAATGGAAAATACATAACAATAAGAAGCATTGTGTTTGTTGACATGGCGACGGGGTGAGCTCGACCTTCGTATTTCACGCTAAGGCGTTTGCGTACTGCTGGCAGATGGCGCTGATTATGCTGGGCTCCATTCCCATCATGATCGTGGCCAATGCGATCCAGATGCTGGTGCTCCTTGGGGCGACCAAAAACGAGCCGCTGGGCCAACAAAGGCGCGCCGCATTTGTTTTTTGTTCACCAGACACTTACATAGGTTCTTTTGATGGGCCGATGCACCCTTTGCTTGCCTGGCAACCTTCGATTGCAATTTGCCGGATATTGTGCTGCTTGTGATGTTTTTGCCACAGCCGCGCAAGATGTTGCTCCACCACCTTCGCTGAGACTTTGGAAGCAGAACTGCACCCCTGCTTGTTTCTGCATTGATGGATCCTTCGATGCTCTTGAACCTACGGCTTTGTTTCCCGTTGCCATCATATGTCATATGGCTAGTAACTTAGCAGCAGTGTGTGTGTGTGTGTGTTGACAACCAAAAAAGTCCGTTCCTGAAAGTCATGAAAGTACAAGGATCTGCAGTATGTCGGCCACTTGGAATTAACATCATTCCCCAAATACCCCTGTTTGCCTTTGTACCGCCTAGCCTGGTAATATGACTTAGATAGCTTAGCCTGGTCTGGAGAACTGCAGTACTCACCCTGCTAAGAATTTTGGCGAAACATTGCATTGAATCATTGAATCAGACGCATCCAAGGCCGTGTTTTGCGTACAGCCTTGCCCAGCTTAGCCCTTGCTCGTTTTGTGTGGGTTTGAATGTGTCAGGGTACTTTCAATCTCCCCATGCAACCACCAAAGAAATTAGGGGCAAGGTGAGACTTGCTGCTCACGGGCAACACCCATTGCAAGGAGAGGAACTCACCCCGAAACACGCACGAGGCGGTTTTGCACTTCAAGCAAACGCAGACCGTGGCAGATCCAAGGAACGAGGATCTCACCATGGCACAGCAGATCGTGACGGACTCGGTGATGAACGCACGCACCGTGCAGGCCGAGGGAAAAAAAGAGTGTGCTTTTAGGTCAGATTGGTTTGCTTTGTTTTTCGTCAGATGGCACTGGTTTCAGTTTAAAACCTCCCAAACATGAAGGTACGCAAGACCGTGATGCGACGGAACAGCTTACACCACCAACAACAACAACAACAACAACAACAGCAACAACAACACCACCAACACCAACACCAACACCAACACCAACGCCAACCCCAACACCAACACCAACACCAACACCACCACCACCACCACCACCACCACCACCACCACCACCAACAACAACAACAACAACAACAACAACAACAACAA